CCCCCAGAGCCCCCCCAAGCCCCTCCTCAGCGCCCTGAGACCCCTCAGGGATCCCCAGGACCCCTCCCCAAGCCCCCAGCCCACCTTGGCGGGGTCGAAGTCGGGCGGGTAGTACTTGTTGGTGCCCTTGCGCTCGCCCTGGGGGAGATCGGAGAGTCAGGGGGTGTCACCGAGTGTCACTGAGTGTCACTGGCTGTCACCGAGTGTCACTGAGTGTCACTCACCGAGTGTCACCAGCTGTCACCGAGTGTCACCGAGTGTCACTGAGTGTCACCGAGTGTCACTGAGTGTCACTGAGTGTCACCGAGTGTCACTGAGTGTCACTCACCGAGTGTCACCAGCTGTCACCGAGTGTCACCGAGTGTCACTGACTGTCACCGGCTGTCACCGAGTGTCACCGGCTGTCATGGTGTGACCCCAGTGTGACCCCAGTGTGACCCCACAGTGACCCCACAGTGTGACCAGTGACCCCACAATGACCCCACAGTGACCCCACAATGACCCCAGTGTGACCCCACAGTGACCCCGCAGTGTGACCCCCCAGTGACCCCAGAGTGACCCCACAATGACCCCACAGTGACCCCACAGTGTGTCCCCATGGTGTGACCGCAGTGACCCCACAGTGACCCCGGTGTGACCCCACAGTGTGACCAATGACCCCACAGTGACCCCAGAGTGTGACCCCACAGTGACCCCACAGTGACCCCACAGTGACCCCATGGTGTGACCACAGTGACCCCATGGAGACACCACAGTGACCCCGTGGTGACCCCACAATGACCCCACAGTGACCCTGCAGTGTGACCCCACAGTGTGACCCCATGGTGTGACCCCACAATGACCCCGCAGTGACCCCACAGTGACCCCATGGTGACCCCGTGGTGACCCCACAGTGACCCTGCAGTGTGACCGCACAGTGTGACCCCACAATGACCCCACAGTGACCCTGTGGTGACCCTGTGGTGACCCTGAGGTGACCCTGTGGTGACCCTGTGGTGACCCCGTGGTGACCCTGAGGTGACCCTGAGGTGACCCTGAGGTGACCCTGAGGTGACCCCGTGGTGACCCTGAGGTGACCCTGAGGTGACCCCGCTGTACCCGAGGTGGCCCCGAGGTGACCCTGAGGTGACCCTGAGGTGACCCCGCTGTACCCGAGGTGGCCCCGTCCCCACTCACCATGGCCGAGGGTCTCCGGAGCCGCGGGACCGGAACGGGCAGGACCTGGGGGTGACCAC